TACCGGGTCAACAGCGTCATGTAAATTGATCGGACTTATTCTCTCAACTGACTAGTACAGTTTTGATATCTATTGGTGAGCTGCTGGTGGACCATCACACTGGTTTTCTTTGCGGTTCTTTTTCGATCGATACTTTTTGCTGCGAACCAATATACACATGGCGGATAACGTTTCATTCCTCATTGACCTTATGAAGATTGGGGATGAAACTGCGCTTGTTTTGGGACAGTATAGACGGGAAGTTGGAATTGGTGATACAGGAAACGAACAGGAAATAAGAACAATGTATAAAAGGGTAAAAAAGAAATAAGCAGAAGAGGCAAAAGGATGGGTGATGGTGATGATGATTGTCAGTTTGGCTGGCATTCAGAAAGGTTTCTGCATTTGATGGACAGCATAAGCATCAATGATAAATTACAGCTTTAACACGCCTGATGAGTTTTGCTAGTTTAACGATTTGTACACATCAACCGTAAAGTTGAAAATTTTTACGGGATAGAAAGAAACGGTTATAATGAAAAAAACTTGGAGGAAGAATCTTGAAGATGGTACACAACGTAAGAGGAGAATTTTGTTAAATGGAGTAATGTTGGATTGCCGTGGGTTGTATGAAAGTTTATTTCTTCTTATTTACTTTTTTACACTAATGATATGCTAATTTGATTTTTCAGTTTTGGAGGGCTAAAATTCCTAAAAACTTTATTTTGCCTTCAGAATTTGAAATTTAGAATTTTTTCTGCTTTTTTGTGTTATAATTTTTTATGTTATAGTTCGGGATGCGTTTGTAGTACTGGTAAAGTATACTTATTTTATTGGCCAGTAGTTTTCTTAGTCATTTTATCGATTTTTTGGAAATTACTTGTTAATCTTCCAGATTAGACGTTTCGGCTTATTTTTATATTTCGTTTGTTGATGATTTTAAACTAGAATAAAGCAGAAGGAAGGGAATTGGTCTACTTTCTTTGTGTTTATCATTTAATGAAAGTTGTTATTGTTTAGGAAATAAGTGATATTAGCCAAATTTTGCTGTCAAAAATAGAAAATTTATTTACTGAATTTGAATAGCGTTCAGTTTTATTTTTCATTTTCTCACTCGTGTATGCAAATACATGACGGCCAAAATAATAGCAAAAAATTTGGATAATTCTTCAGTTTCTTTGCTAATCATTCTTCTGAAAGAATTTTTTGGCTTTCATATGGCGCTGTGTTTTCCAGTGGTATCTAGTAACTTTTATTGTTACACTGTCGAAAAAATCGCCTTAGTTGTTTCATAAAGTTGTTGACAATTTATTTGTTTTGACAGTTTTAATACCAGTTGTTCTATTGTCTTTTGTTCAAGAAGGAAAAAAGTTGTATTTGTTTGCAAAAAAAAAAAATGTGAAAAGGATGGTTTTAAGAGGCCGTCTAAGAAGCTTAACATTTCTTTTTATGCTCATTATTTGTTCATATTTTTGGGACAGGCGGATAAGGATGGAGTTGTTGGTTTAGACGATTCAAGATAAGAGTGTAAAATAAAATTTTTTTGAATGTTCTTTCTGTTGGTGGTAGTGTGATGACGTTGACGAGAGTAATATTTATATACGTTATGTGATGGGCCAACAAATTGAGTACAGAAATGCTGCTCTTTGATCGATCATTGTTTCTGCTATACATCAATCGGTGTTTTTGATGATCGAAGCTAATGATAAGGAGAACAGCAGCTTTTATT